TCCAACTATTTAACCCAACCGTCAATTGAATCAACACCGCCCTACTACTAACACAAAAAAGTGAACAGCCTAGGATCAAATTCGGTAAACCCAAGTTAGGCACACTGCACTAGACTATGCGTCGAGGCGCAGGTACCGGGTTACGGTTCCAAAAATGGTGGGGGGTGCGAACGGGCACCCTGGTCCGAACACATTACCAGACTGTACGTTGTTCTACCCCGCATGTCCGACACTCATACACTACTAGGCTATACTGCAAACAAACTCAACAGGGCAAGCCCTGGTCCTTGCTATGAACCTCCCGGTTCACCACCAATGAGTGCACACAATCACACACCATGCACAAATGAGATTACACGAAGTTCAAACTGGAGGCCAGAGAGACAAAGACCAGGTAAGCGCAGCTTTATAATTCCAACAAATTATCACGTGACATGAGCAATTAAGAGTTCCAGTCACAAGCGCTCAACAGCGCAGATCCAAGTAACCAGTATCTTCATTCAGGTAAGTATCTCTCTCACTGTTCTTCTCTCTTCTCGCTCAGTCTTCTCTCTGTCTACTACCTCCCTTTGTCTTCTCTCCCTACTTGTATGCACTCACACTCTCTACTACTCAAGGATCAACACTGAATACACCCATTGCTAACTCTACTAACCCCTCTGAGGTCTACTGCTAACCACTAGGCACTGGCGCAGCTATAGCTGCCTTCCCTCTGCCAGCGCTGGGGCAGCTAAGGCTGCTCCCTCTCTCTCCCTCTACTAGCGCAGCTCCCAGCGGTTCGCTCCTCACTATAGCGCACAAGTGCACCAGCACTTCCACACTTCTGCTAATGAGCAATCTCCCCAATGAGGAGGCTTTCCAGTCCTTATATTGTCTTGGACTGAGCTTCAACTCGTCCCAGCCTATGCTTCTTGGGCCTTCACTTGGTTCTGGTAACACATCCCCACGCCCTGTTTGCTTCAGAATGTCAGGGCCTGGTACTTTATTGGTGTGCTGCTGCTTGGGCCTTTGAGCCACGACTTTTCGATTGCGGCACATGACTTTTGACTGTGGGTTGTGAGAACTTGTGACCCTTGCCTCTGAGACACGACCTTTGCTTGGGAAAGTGTCCTTTGGCTGCGGAACATGAATTTTCAATACGACTCTTCAATATGAGACGTGACTTTTGCCCCTGGGATGTGACTGTTCACTGGGTGCCTATCGGACTTGACTCCTAAGGTACCCGACAGTGACTTCTCTGGAACTGACTGACTTGGCCCTCCTTGGCCTAGGCCCTTGACCCTGAAATTCAAATTTGGGGTCTGAATCATGGAAGGCCTTTCACTCACAGAATCGGAGATAAAAAAAAAAAAACAGAATCATTTCAATCACACTAAGGCACAGCTTGTGAAGTTTAAAGTTTGAAGTTTAAGCCCCTCTAGTCCCTTTAAAACCAATTTACGCCCCCCCCCCCCCCTCTCCCCTTGACAGCCAACTTTCGAGAGAA